CTAAAGGTTTTTCAGTTAGAGTGTTTTCAGCTTGTTTATTTTCATGTACAAATACGGCATGCAGTTGCATCAAACAATGGTATAAACATAATTCAATGTAAATTGTGATAATCGTAATTAATAATCGCAATTACAATTTCAAGGGAATAATCGACATTTGTGATTTTTGTCATAATCGTGCAGAGCCCTAGTTGATATGATTCTTTAGATTCGTGATTTTTGTCAATCGTGCAGAGACCTAGTTGATATGATTCTTTAGATTCGTGATTTTTGTCATAATCGTGCAGAGACCTAGTTGATATGATTCTTTAGATTCTTAATGAAAAGTCTAAAGCATACTTTGGTTAAAATGTCTCAATGGTAGTGTAAAAAACACCTTTTTTACCCTGTCAAAATCAGCTGTTTCAGCAAGCTGTTCTAGTCCGTGTTGCTTTAAATGCTAATGAGCTCTGCTGACCCCGCCCCTCTCTACCATGGGGTGATGAGCAGTACTGTTTACTTTAGCCGCGAAACTTGCCAACTACCACATTATTAGGAAAGGCGATTTGCAAAGATTCCAAAAAACCCTTATACTCACTTCTACTGTAGATGAAGCTGGATCACGAATGATTCGCGCGAACATAGACGCAATTATGTAGATCGGGGATCGGCGCATTCACTTCAAAACGAAAGTAACGTTAATCCTCTGCGTCTTCAGCGGCTCAGATGTCGAGAGTAAATAACGACTGCTATATTCGTTATTACATCCAACAGCAAAACACATCAATCGCTTAATCAGAGACGTTCTTGTCTTCCCCTGCACTGGAGTCGACACAATGGTGGACTGATGACAGCTCACTCAGGGCGGAGCTAAGGTAAGACAGGCCTGCCAATCAACTATTGTGGGAGGGGCCTGTGCAGAACTACGTCATTCTGACAGTAATCTCAGAACAGCCTGATGTGAGAAAGGGGATTTTAAAAACCACTGGGTGGATTTTTATCATTATAGGATGGATGTGTACACACACTTCCAACACACATTTATGTTCAAACAACAACAAAAGTGAATTTTGCATCCGATGACCCCTTTAAGAATAGTGCTAAAATATTTAATGCCATTAACGCAGGGGCGGGGCTAGCGTTGGTCACCTCACTCACAACTGCTGCTTCGGTCACTTTTTCTCTTGACAAGAAGTGCATTTATTCAGTCGCAGAACGACTGAGAACGGGAGACGTTTCAGACGCGCGCTCCACTTCACTTCAGCGCCAGGCACGAGTCAAACGAGCGCGGAAACGGTACTGTGCTCGAAGCACGTGCTCTTCTATTGCACACACAAAGGCGCCGGCGCACGCTGTAGCCTGTATCCTTTCATATCAAAGCGCGAAATAAACTACGTGCATGCAATATCGTGGTCAGTTAAGTCGTGAATTTACCAAAAATGTGATTAAAGCTGCATTAAAACTGTGCATGCATGTAATATATTTTATTTGAGTCACATTTAAGAACATGTCTCTGAAACGGTTTTCCAAACTGTCCTGGAGCCCAGCACTGTCTCACTCATCTAACACACCCGATTTAACTCGTCAGCTCATTAATAGAGACTTAAGACCTGAAGTGGGTCAGAAAAGGTCAAAAGAGTTGAGAGAAAATATGATGTGTGTCAGATCCGCGTCACGTTCAGCAGCGGCAGCTCTTAAAGTAATAGCAGCCAAAACAACCTAATAACCAGCTGCTGTGATGTCTGTTCATCAAAGGACAAAGAGAAAAAAAAGAGGAAAAAATTACTTTTACAGCTTTAAGGATTCATCTCTATTTAATTTAGTGTTTGATAACTTCAATTTCTGTATATTTTTGCTGAAGGGCACGGGTAAATATGACATTTATTATAATGGGTTTATATGAAGATTGTTTTAAGTTCACTTAAATTAGAAGTTATTTTTTAAAGTCTAATAAATGTTAAAATTGATAGCTCTCAATTATACTGTAATGCTGAATGGCTAGTCCATGGTTAAATATAAGGGGGGGGGTTATAGAGAAATCAGTATTGGTATCATTGATACTGGCCTTCAGTCATAAAAAAAAGATGCCTCTGTGAGTTTGTGTGAGTGTGAGAGTGTGTGTGTGAGTGTGTGCGTGTGAGTGTGTGTGTGTGTGTGTG